GCATTTTGAGCCATGGACACATGAAACCAGAAGCAGCTGAGAAAGCATAGACTGCAAAAGAAGCCAAAGGACGCTGAAAGAGGCCATTGTTGTTTCAGACTTTCAGTCAATCGCAGTGTTGGAAAAATCGGCCTAGGCGGGCGGCTAGGTGGCTAGGTGGCTAGGCAGTCGCCAGGCGGGCTGGAGGCGGCTAGGCCTTCGCTAGGAAGGCGCGAGGCAGCTAGGCGGTGGCTAGGTGGTCGCGAGGATGCTAGGCGGTCGCGAGGCGGCTAGGCGGTAGCTAGGCGGGCACTAGGCGGCTAGGCGGGTAGGCGGGCGGCTAGGCGGGTTGAGTCTTTACCCGGAGGACGAAGCAGCCGAAACCAAAGAAAACAAATCGAAGCTTGAGTTGATAGAGGAGCGAAATGGTTTGACTGCGTGTGCAAGCTTCATGTTCGTGTGGAATATATTTAAAGAGTATAGCCGCGCGGCTATACTGTTAAAATATTCGAAAGTCTTTGAATCGGGAATAAAGAAACAAGGTCTTATTGGATATTTTGGATGACAAAATGTCAAATTGTCAAGGATGATGAATTGCCGAGCAGTTTGATGATATTTTTATTACTTGGAAGGGGAACACGATGTCAAGTCCTCTATTGGTTCACATAGATGTTTTAGCCTCTACTTCTTTATTTCCCCTTTTTTTGCTTTTATTTGGGGGGCGCGTGGTGGTGAAATTGCAGTGCTAAGCTGTGTTCCTATTATGCAGATGCGCTCTGTTTCTGTGGAGCTTGAGATTCTTGGCAGGCATCAGCACCCTGAATTGACCATTCCCTTTTTAAAGGTCGTCTTTTTATTTTTTGGTCATTCTCTTTATTTGGGTTTTTTATGGTATTTTTGGTTGCTATTCCAAATTTACCAGGAGCTGTACTAAAGAATGCTACAATCTCTTTTTCTTTTACTTTAAAGATTGTATTTTATGAGAATCCCCTTCTCATTCAGCATCTAAAATCATCTCATTGCTTACCTGGTGGTTTGGTATTCTATTTATTTGGGTTTTTTTGGTTGCTATTCCAAATTTACCAGGAGCTGTACTAAAGAATGCTGCAGTTTCTTTTTCTTTTACTTTAAAGATTGTATTTTATGAGAATCCCCTTCTCATTCAGCATCTAAAATCATCTCATTGCTTACCTGGTGGTTTGGTATTCTATTTATTTGGGTTTTTTTGGTTGCTATTCCAAATTTACCAGGAGCTGTACTAAAGAATGCTGCAGTTTCTTTTTCTTTTACTTTAAAGATTGTATTTTATGAGAATCCCCTTCTCATTCAGCATCTAAAATCATCTCATTGCTTACCTGGTGGTTTGGTATTCTATTTATTTGGGTTTTTTTGGTTGCTATTCCAAATTTACCAGGAGCTGTACTAAAGAATGCTGCAGTTTCTTTTTCTTTTACTTTAAAGATTGTATTTTATGAGAATCCAGTCTAAATGATTTTTATTTTATTTTATGGTATTTGATTTGAGGTTTCCAGTCTAAATACTTTTCTTCAATAACTACTTTTTTTATGTTGTTGTGAGATTTTAAAGTGTGTAATTTCTCAACTCAGCCAGTAATTGGCACGAGTCTCCTTAAGTTAGTGTTCAATTCATTTCACTCAACTCGTTAGTTTTGACAGAATATGATAATAGAGGTAGCATCTGAAACACAATGATTATAAGCATATTGTCATTGTCTGTAATCTGTATTATATTTGTCTTGGCAGTTAAATCTCTGGATCCTGCGATCTAAGTAATAGCGCTGAACTACTGTAACTTGTTTAATGAAATATATTATGCATGTAGAGCAATGGGAGAGCATTTTTAATAATATTTCTGTTTTTCATACAAATACACATTTTTTAAAAAGCAAATGTATAATACACATATTGTAGGCATATGTACGTATTTTTCATGTTTAATGTTTTCTTAATTCTTTTTCAATAAATAGTATAGGCGCTCGGCTATACTGCGGTGTTTTTTTTGTTTTAAAAAAAAATTAAATATAAATTAAATTAAATAGTATAGCCGTTCGGCTATAGCCTTTAAAAAAAAAGAAAAAAAAAGGCACCCCGGCGATAGGCGGGATCTTTAAAAAAAAAAAAAAAATAATAGTATAGCCGCGCGGCTATACTTGGGCTTTCTTATTTTAAATGAGTAGTACAGCCGCTCGCTCGGCAATACTTTGTCCTTTTTTTTATTATCTTTTTTGTTAAATAGTATAACCGAGTGGCTATACTGGGCTCCCTTATATAAGTTTTTTTAATAAGTGGTATAGACGGTCGGCTATACCGGGCTCTTTTTTTTAGTTTTTATTTTAATAAATAGTATAAATAGTATAGCCGCACGGCTAACATCTTAAATATAATGTATTTAAAGGAAGCAGTCACACATGTGCAAGAAAGACATGCTAATAATTAGTAATCCTAGTAAGACTTGGACATGAATTTCCGTTCTCATTCTAATCAACGTAGATTTATACAACTTTTACACCTTAGACATGTGTTAGTATGAAAATTGTATTGTCATTTCCTAGACTCTATTATAGGTTTGGAATTAGGGTATGAATATCTTTTACTGGAAGTTTTGGCGCAACACATTCAATCCCGGATTTTCGAAGTATGACTTGATCGATATGAGGAAACTAATTTCAGGTAAATCATGACATAATCATGCATTCATTATAAGATTCCTAGTTTGAGTTATTTTCACTCAAGTGTTTTTATGTTAATCTTATTCTTAATAGGATTAGATTTTATCTCTTGAGATTACTTTCCTAGTTGGACTCTATTTTAATTTAAGTTAAAATATTATGTTTTCATTATCTTGGACTTGGAAAGCATGTTTCAATGAATATCCTATTTGGCTTCGTTGTTTACATGCTCATAAACATTGTTTCATTGGATAAAAATTGATTGTTGGAAAACCTTATTTTATAATACAAAAGCTGATGAAATTACAATAGGAATCTAAGAGAATCAAATATGTTAAATGGCAAGAGAGTGAGCACGTGGCTTTGTGTTTTTCTCTTGCAAAAAGGAGTTGTAGTCTGAATGGGTCTTAGAGTCATAGTTGCTTTGGAAGTGTAGTCTCGTGGTTTGCTCTCTAGTGAGAGAAACCTGCTTTGCATAAAGGTATTGTTGTTTCTTTTTCAACAGGGGCTTTTCATTGCAATTACATCTTTGAGCATATTAAATCTTTGAGCAAAAGTCTGTCGTGCTGATTTTTCTTTGGTAATTCATCAAGTGCTCCTTTGTTGCTTGGTGACTTATCGAATTTATTCATCATTCATATTGCATACATATGCATGTCGGTGACTCATATGGTTGATGGCATCAAGACCGTGGTGGCGGTTTTCCTCCGGTGAGCTTGAAGCAATCGTGACCAGTATTGCGTTCAACATAAGGAGTGTCGAAGATCATCCCGTGACAGAAGTTGAGTTACGAAGAAGTCGGTAAACATTATCTAGAATGTGTCTAGGATAAGTGTGTGAGTACTTCTTGTAATCATCGTTCTATAGTGGATTTGTGTTGGACTGAGGAGTCCCGTGGATTTTCCCCAGAGGTGGGGTTTTACCACGTAAAATAATTCTCTCTGTGTTCTTTTATTTTATTCCCAGCACGTTCTGGGATTGATAAGCCATATCAATCCTGCTGCCGAAGTTTATTTTTTGTTTATTGATTATAATCTTAAATTGGCTTATACACCTCCCTCTAGACATTTTTAGTCATCCTGCAAGTATTTTCAACATGGGTTCATATATTTTAATAAATAGTGGTTAGCAATGATTGAGAGTGAATTGCCTTGCCTACACCCGTATAGGTAATTAGCAATGATTTCAAATGAAAACTGGTTTTTATATTTTGGGTGTTTATATTTTATATTTTGCTGGTGGTAGATGCAATGCCAAGTGTACAGCTCACATTGCTGACACATTTTGTAAGGCTAAATCTGTTTTTCCATTCATTGTAAAGGGGATAATTCCGTTGGTATGAAATTAGAGTGTGTGTGTGTGTGTGCATTGCTATGTTCATTGCGCAGTAACAGACGCTCTCTCTCCTCTCAACGATCTCTCTATCCTCTCTTAGCTCAATTTTTCTTCCTCTTTTCTAGAAACTAAGCTCTGCATATTTTCAAAATCTCATCACGGGCTAGTCCTCTGCCAATAAAATGTGAATACAGTAGGAAACATGACCAAGTAGCCCTTCTTCATAGTAAAAATATCCGGTGTATGTCCCGTGTTGCCGGCTTGTTTGTAGAGAAGCATCATACTCTTCCTGTTTGCCGCATCAGAAATCCGGTGATCGGTCATGTCCTTGACTTGCCTAATGCACATATGGATGTGTGTAGAATGAAATGTGCTTTTGATTCATTGACTGGTGATGCCAAATTGGTAAGTGCTTATATCCACAATGATGAAGTGGGATATGAAGTTATGAGCATTGGACAAGATGGGGATTGGAGAGCCTTGAAACACCCAAACCAAGGCTTGTTGAAGAAAAATGGCAAATGGGCAACAAGAAGGCAATTTTTTCTAACTGATGAGGTTCATGATGGGGTTTATTTTTGTTTTGAAATTATAACAGATGGGGAAGATTGGTGCTTGGAAGTCCAAGCGCTCTGTCGACGTCGGTGGAGGATTGCTTTGCCAATGTCAGAGCAGCGGAGAGTGGGTCTGAGAGGAAATAACGAGTTGGGATTTACTTATTTTTTATTTTTGTATTTATACTCTCTAGATTGGCCCCAAAAACTATTTGGTCACCCTTAAGATAACATATATAAAACTAAGTCGTTTTATGGCTTAAATTTTCCAAGCACGATGGTCTGCGACGAAAAACAAGTGGTCGCCGACACCACAAAATTTTTAAGCGCGAATTCTAATTTAGCGACAAAACATTGAACCTCAGCGACCAAATATTTTCGTCGCCAAAACTTTTAGAGTTTCGCGCGAACACAATTCAGAAATTCTCGACCAAATATATATTTGGTCGCCATGACCTAGTCTAGCCACCAAAATCTTTCGTCGCCCTTTCAAAGAAATTTGTCTCTATTTAGTTGACTCAAGTCATCACGGATGTCTAAATAACACGAACCTTTTGGCAACCAATTGGAATCGTTTCGTCGCTGATATCCCTTTTTCGCCAACAAAATATGGTTCGTCGCTAAATATTTCGTCGCAAAAAAGGTTTTTCCTTGTAGTGACTATTACATCGGATTGAAAACCCTAATTAATTAATCCCATTGTATCGACCTCAATACCCAACCAATTTCACAAAAGGAAAAATATCACTTTACAGAAGGAATGGAATATAATACCCCAACTAAGGTTAGAGACAAGACTCAACGAAATCAAAACCCATCTGAGAAACTTTTAGAAATATCCAAATACATGCTTGATTAAATGACAGACACCTCCGTACAAGAAGAAAGGGAATGTAATTAGAGCCAAAAGGCTCAAAGAAATCATAAATAATTTCAACCAGCAAAAACAAAACTATTGCATCAGATTTGAAAAACCAAGAGTTTCAAGATTCATAGAAACCAACAGCAACTTCAAGTTGAGAATCATATACATACCTCAACTCAATACCTAGATATGCTTCTCGTCATCGGCAGTTGAAAGTCACCCAGGTAGCTACAAGTGGATACAAAGGCTTGGGGAAAGAGACATCCTTCCATACTTGTCCATTTCCTCTAGCAGGAAAGTATATATAGTCCCTGTAGAATCTGTATTGGGGAAGACGGAGGCCAACTCTAACAATTGTCCCCTTCTGGACAGCTGTGTTTCTCCAGGTTTGTAACAACGG